AAATAATATATACAATTAAATTACCCTTATGAATTTAATAATAAAATAATATATAATTGGATTTATGAATAAATATATATGTTCTGAGTATTTGGTATTTTGTCTCTTTATATAGTTTTTATTTATTTATTTATTATTGTTTTGGAAAGTTTGTATTATATATTAGGACTCTATTATTATATTAGTTTAATTTGTTTTGTAAGTGTAGCGAAGAATTTTAATTTGAAGAGTAAGAGAGTTGTAACCAAATTAGAATTATTAATTTGTATAAGAAAACTCTCCTTTTGTGAGTCTGAAGAAGGACAAAGAGAAACAACTTATTAGGGTATAAGAGAAAACTAATATATAATGACACAACTAAAATTAAAACTTTCACGTGTTTTATGGTGAAAACATTTTAAAGAAATCAAACAGTTGCGGGAATATTATTTTCTTAAAAACAAAAAAAAAAAAAAAAAATCACGCTAAACAAACTGTAAAAATTTTAATTTTTTTTTTTAATTTAGTTTCCTTACTCAGTTCATGATAACCAAACAAACCCTATATGATTAAATGGGTCTTCCAATTCATTAGCTGGTCATGGTCTAAGCCTAGAGGCTACAATTAATACAATTTGTAAAAAGGTTGGGTGAAATTGAAAGGCTTTTACTGCAAAAGCCCACAAAATCGTATTATTTTCTTTGGGTCTAGAAGTTTGGATCCTCTCCTTGACCTGTCCTGGCATGCGTAAAAAGAGTAGAGGTAAAAAACTTACCTCCGTATTTTGTAGGTAGTAAAATGTATGTATTGTGAAAAATATAAATAATATTTTATACAATTGGGTTGACCCAAATATTTTATACAATTGGGAAGCTCTTGCTTGCCTTGCCGGAAGAAAGTTGTCCAGAACGAAACGGAGCTCTACAAGTAAAGAGGATTTTTATATTCTTTTTATCAATATACTCTCATTATTTAAAATTATAAAAATTTTATATTTATTCTAAATTTATAAAAAAATTAAAAATGAAAAATATATACTTTTGTTGATTGTTATTTCTTTCTCTCTCCTCATTCTTCCCAATTTTGGGCGAATATATGAACCATCACTCATTATTTCTTCCCCTCTTCCTTTTCTACCAACCGAATACGAAAAAATTATTTTATCCACCCTATCATCAATCCCTCTCTCCAAACAAACACAACAAACGAGTTAGACTATGACATTAGTTCTGATAATATTTGCCGAAAAATTAGATATCTTGTTTGCTATGTTTATACAATTCTAAATTATTTTGTGTTTGATTAAATGGTTATTTGCTTTTATTTTATTTTATCTTGATTAAGTTATGGATTTGAAAAAAAGGGTTGGACTAGATAAATAAATCTTGGACCACCAAGAAGGAAGTGTGGTTGACTTTGAATTATCGACTAGTTATATATATATATAATATTATTATTATAATTATCACGTGAGTGAGTGAGAGAGAGATTGACCTGGTGTCGTGTTATGGAGAGGAGAGTAAGTTATTTTTTGTTGTACAGTTACTTTTGTAATGATAGAGAGGGAAATGTTCACGGAATCACAGGTGATATGAAGATAGCTTGTGTGCCTCTCTCTCTCTATATATATGTATGTAGATGGCAAAGTGATTGATGGATCTTTTACCCTCCATGATAGTTGTAGGTATAGGGTTCATAAATAGCATAGGTGCAGTACAAACTAGGAACAGATCTCTTCCTCACCATCCCTAAAGTCAATTCACACCACATCTCACGTGTCAACCTTCACTTTTTCTTTTGTCCCCTGCAGGTATGAAAACGTGGTGGGTTTGGGCGAGTGTATTCTCCCCACCCTGTAACTGTATAAAAATTTCACATCTATTCTCGTCCAAAATTGAAAAAATGAGAGAACTTTTCGCTCCATTTTCACCCCGCCCCATTTAAGATAAAATTTATCTTTTATTTAATTTTTTTTATTAATTAAAATTATATAATTATTAAAAAGATTCATAAAAAAAGAACAATAAATAATTTAACATAAAATTCAACATTCAAAACATTCTAAATGGTCGTGCAACTTACTTGTTTCAGATTTTTAGATTTAGTTGCAAAACAAACTATCTTAATATATATACTAATGAAATAAGGGTACTAATGCGAAATATATATACTAATTAAATAAGGGTCTTAAGTAATTTACTTATCTAAATGGGGCGGGGCGACTTCCTCCCGTTCCCTCACCAAAATCGTGTAGGTTTTCAATACATCAAATCATTCCCGCATAAATAAGATAAATGGTCCCCTAAAATTGCTAAAAATGGGGCGAGGCGACGGGTTGGTTACCAGCGGGGGTGGGGCAAATTGCCATCCCATCCCTAGTCCTCTATCCCCCAATCTAATTTATTCTCTCACACATTTTCTACCCTTCTCAACAACCTTTCATCACATTTAGTCAACTAGCTTGATCAAATTGGCGCCATTTACATATCATTCATTTGCCCAAAGGATAATACCTTAATACAAACAATACTCATTTATTCATCGGACAATACATAGTTTGGTGTAGTATTGAGAATTCTTAATACGATTATTAAACAGGTCGTATTTGAATTGAACTATTTACTATAACATTCTTAACTCGACGCGACATGGTTACGATTCACAAACACGAATTGCATTATTGCTACCCGACCTCTAAACCATTAGCACTCGTGAATCCATCACTCCTTCCAAAACAGTCCACTTAAAATAAAGATAAAGTTCGAAAAGTTAAGGTTCTATTTTATTTATTTATTTATTATTATTATTATTAACTTTACCAATTTAAACTTGCATCGGATTTATAAAAGTAAACATCAAATCTTGATGACCTGCTACAAGAGATTTACTGATTTAGTAATTTATTCACTATTAATATAATAAAAATATATTAAAATTTATCATTTTAATAAGTTACACTACGAATTTCTTAATTCGGGAGGGCGCGGGAGTATATGATGATCTTTTATTTATTTATTTTTTTAAAATTAGTACAAGTTACAAGTTTATTTATTTATTTTTTTAAAATTAGTACAAGTTACAAGGTTGCATAAGTAGATGTAAAATGATCAATTTGCTTATTTTATTGCGTAGGAAAGAAATTATTTTCTTTAATTTCAACATGTGGCTATGTCATGCTTTTTGTTTTTTTTATTTAGGAAAAGCAATGACGCGGGGTAAAAGAGAAGCAGTGATAGCGGTATCTAGCTTTTATTTAAAAAAAAAAAAAGAAGAAGAAGAAGAAGAAGAAGAAGAAGAAAGGGTAAGAGCAATTTCAATGGGATGCTATTTTCAAAATATAACATGTAGATTTAAAATGGGTTCTTCAATGATATATCAAATGGGCTGCCAAAATATAACTTTGCCAAATATAACATAACATATAACTATTGCCAAATCTACTATTACTCTCTTCTTTCTCTCTTCCCTTTTGTATGGGCTGCTAATTTGATGATGGGCTGTCAATTTGGTGTCGTTCTTGTGTATATATATATAAGCTAAATAAAATACAAATACTCACAAAAAAAAAAAAAAAAAAAAAAAAAAATTTATTGAGTTAAAAAATAACATTTTGGATGATATGCACTATTAGAGTAGAATTGCTAAAATATTGCATTTTGACGTTGTAACTCTTCTCAAAATATAAATTTGGTATGCAAAAATGACATTTTGCATTGGAGATGGTTTAAGGAAACACTAGTAAAGTCCTGTGTACAATGTGTGTATATATGGAAATATTTCCATATTGGATTTATACGGAAATATTTTTCTAAAGTATTTTAGAGGACTTATTTTTCTTCTACGTTTAAGGTATGGGTAATTTTCTCCATGAAATAAAAAACAAAAATAATAATATAATATAACGAAAACAAATTTAGTACACATAACGGAGGCACAGAGAAACTATACAGGTTCACAAAATAATAATAAAAAATCTTTGAATCCACGGAGCTTGGGTAAGATAACTTGGTCAGTAATTTTATTAACGAAGGAATAAATTATTCTGATACGTACTAACAACTCGAGGCTAGATTGTATAGAAAAATATACAACAATCTTGAAAACATGATTTTCGGAGTTTTAATTTAGCCGAAAATAGCCTCATCAAAATTGTCATAAAAAAGACTAAGAATAAATTGATCCTAAGTAACTTAAAAATAAAATTTTATATTTAGATATTTATTAAAATATACCTAGTCTATATATATTTTAGTAATAAACTTGACCTTTATTTATATTATTTAATGCGAAAAATGGGGTGTCATGAACATTACTGCATTTAAACAGTTGAACATATTAAGCATGTGAAATGTGAAAGTTAGCAAGAAAATCCCGAGCCCTCATTTTGCTACTGTCTGAATAAAATCCCCAGTTTTCGTCTTACCTTTCTTGCTATGCTATACCGCCTCAATCTTCGGGTATTCTTATTCTTCTTCTCGCTTTTAAATCCTTACTGATATATATTTTATTCAGGTTTTGCATACTTTATTGTTATGATTGGGCCCAACAATTATAAGTTGGCAATGCAAAGACCTTTTTTTTTATTTTTTATTTTCTTCTCCGATCTGAACCTTTCATTGAGCTCACGCTTATTTCTGGAGTTTTTCTGTTCAATTTCTTTGGCCAATATGGGTTTTGTATATATATATATCTATATATATGGGTTGAACACTGAGAGAACCATGTATGAGGAGAGGGAGAATCATGTGCCTTTCCATATAAAGATCATTTTAGAAAACGCATGAATACTTGGTGCGTAATAATTTTTGCTGACCAGTTTAAAATTTGTGCTTTGATATAGTTTTGCTTATTGGGAAGGGAGAATTACTTGGATGGAGTAGATTCTGAAAAGAGTAAGTTTGTTTTGAGTTGTTGTTATTATTATTATTATTATTTTATCTAATTAGTTAATTTGTGGTAGGAGGACAATAAACTCATTATTTTTCTTTTTTTTATAGACTTTAGCTAAAGAATTTTAATTCTATTTTTTTTTTTTAATTATTAACAGAAGAACCGCACCGGCTGTCATCTTGCTCTAGTCAGATTTGGTCTGGACCAACCCGACACAAAAATCAAATCCAAAACACGGGTCATAGGGGCCAGTAAGGGCCGGGAAAATCCGAGCCACATCCTCAATCACACCATTCATTTCGTTTACCTCCTTCTCCCCAACTCCAGATTAGTAGAGGGTCTTCTTTCTCAACACTTCACGTTCAAGTTCTTCCCAACACTGAAATTAGGGCTTTAAAAATGTCAATCCTTCAAATTTCACTGTCGATCCCAACACCACACCCACATAACCTCTCATCTATGGTTTTGTCTGGCCCAAACCCTATCTTCCTCGTTTCGAAGCTCTCTCGCCTATCAATCAACACGTCCAAAACGGCAAGGATCTATATGGGAGGCGGTCCGAGAACATACCCAGGTGGCGTATCGAAATGGCAGTGGAAGCGAATGCAAGCAAACAAATCCAAACAACTCCTCAAGGCCAGACTCACCCGCGAGCGACAAATCTACGAAATGCGAAAGCGGGCGGAGCTGAGAGCGGCTGTTTCGGAGCTCGAGAAGCCGTGGGAGGTCGTTGAGAAAGCGCCGACGCTATTTTCCGTCAGAGCTGATGAACAGTTGAAGGTATTGGCCGATAGATTTCAAAAGCCAGGTGGGTTCGATTTGTGGTCCGAGAAAGATGGCCCCCAGTTGTTCGACACCGTCGATGGGGTGCCCTCGGCGAGGTTTTTCCCTAAAGGGGTTGTTCATAGCATCAAACCCTACGGGAAAATTGCTAATGATTTGGATAACATGAAGGAATTGTTGAGTTCGTCTTCAGAACCCGAAATTGGTATACAACGAAATGGGAAAAAGAATCCGAGAGGATTGAGAGGTGGTTCACGTAGTGAAAGTGAAGTTGAACCAAACAATTCGATGGAACAGTTTCAGGGAAGGAATGGAAAGGGTAAATTTAGGAAGAAGAGGAACAGAAGGCGGCCTGGGGTTGAACATTCTAATGGCTTGAACGGGTTGGATTCAGGACAAGTTGGTTTCGATATGGAAAAACGAGTGGATACTCCACCCACGCACAATGCTGATAGTCGGTTTAGCAGCGGTCGAGTTTCACGGAAACCCAAAAGCTCCAATTCAGGAGTATATGATATGAGTAGGCAACAAGATGGGAGTTATGGGTTTCAAGCACAGAACTGATAATGTGGCTCAAAATGTAGCTCTAAGGATGCTGTTGAAGCTGAGTCATTTTAGCATTAGTTTGTCTTGGTAAATAGAGGTCGATGAGAGGTGAAGAATTGGAAGTTGATCAGGTAATTACCATCAATCTTCCAACATGTACATCTGTATATTTGCATAAAAGCTTTAATTTCTGCTCTGTGAATTGTATATTAAATCATATTGAGCATGGATTGTTTTTGTTAAATGGAATTTTCAGCTGCAACCAATGTACCCTCTATCGTCCGAGATTTTTATTTTTATTTTGACAAGCAATTGCATTATTCTTATTTTATGTTGTATACTTGCTAAATCTCTTTTCGGTAGGTTTCTATCAGAACTTTATGTGGAACTCTTTATTTTGGTATCTGAATTGTATAAATACAAAAGCGACCAAATTACAAAGCAAAGTCGGGCACACCCTTCTGCTTACAATTTACAAAATGAGGCAGGCATTGTCCTTGTGAATCTAAAAAAAACTGGAAATCCAGCCATGAACTTTTCAAGAAACCTAAAGAATAGCTAAAACTAGAGGAATTTCTGTGGCACGAAAGGTCTAAAGTTTACTGGCTACTCAAATTTTTTTTCTCTCTCTACTATAATGAGAACAAAAAGGACAGCGGTTGATTCCTAAAACAGAGAGTGGTGATTGGATCAAAAAGAGAATCCAACTTGGTGATACATTTGCTCAATATTTTGAAAACTTTTTCACCTCATCTTCCCCTTCCATGATTAGTTAGAGCATCTATTTAATCCTTGCATATCATAAGAAGAGAATAGAGATATTTGTATTATTTCAACCTACGAGGAAATGAAGAAAAATCTGTTAAAATGCCTCCAAATCTCCTGGTCTTTGATGGAATGTCGACGGTGTGCTATAACATATTTCCCTTGGTCGTAGGTGATGATCACGTCTGTGGTTCAATATTTTTCAGGCATGCTTTAGGAAATAAATCAAACTGTATCAGTCCCCTGAAGCTCACCCTGAGCAATTCTGTTCAATTAGTTTGTGTAGTTTTAGCTTTTAGCTATAAGGTAATGTCAAAATTAATAGCTAACAGAATTGAGCCTTTTCTAATCGGCATCAATACTGGTAATCAGTCCGCCTTTATTCAAGGTTGATTCATTGGAGAGAATGTAGTCAACACTAGAGATCATGTGCTGTCTAAAGAATAAATTGACAGGCGGTTTTATGATTTTTAAGATTGATATGTCAAAAGCATTTGATTACATGTAAACAAAATTTATGTTAATGGTACTGAAGTTTCTGGGGTTTGATCCTATATTAATGATCCAGATTCACCAATGTGTATTCATTGTCTCCTTTTCAGTCCTTGTTAGCAGAGTGAGTTGGTTTTTTGAGCCATGTGGATTATTATATAAAGGAGACTGTGTATTTACTTTTTTTATTCATTTTGCACCCTGAAGAATTCTCTAGAATGTTAGCAAGAGAAGAGAAACAAGATTGATTGACTAAATGATGTAATAGTAGCTAGATTTTGTCCAGCTATTGGCCACCTACTGTTCACGAGGTCGAGCCAAAGCAAAATGAGGCAGAACCTTTAAAAGAGTGTTTAGATCTATATGTTATATGGAAATTTTTTGTGTAGCCTTTGAACTATACTCTATATACCTTTGGTACCACATAAATTCCTCTCGTTTTAGCTGTTCTTTAGGTGTCTTGTTGAGTTCATGGCTCGGTCTTCAATTTTTAGATTCTCAAGGATAATGACCGCCTCCTTTTGTAAATTGTAAGCAGAAGGGTATGCCCTACTTTGCTTTGTAATTTGGTTCTTTGTGTGTTATACGACCGAGCTGTGCGACATGAAACTTTTGTAAATGATTCTCCACCCTTCGATTCCTATTGGTTCTTGGCTCAATTTTGATGCTTTTAATTTAGCATTTATTGCTTAGTTCAAAATGAGAATCTGGAAGTGGTGAGTGCTTAGTTAATCTAGCAGAAGCCTTATAGTTTTGTACAGAGCGTCCATGATATTTTCGTTCTTTCATAGTTTCAGACAGACACTGAAGAGACGACAGACACTGAAGAGCCTGCGATCAGTGAGTGAAGGGTTTTAAAGGCATTAAAGTGGTGAATATGGGCCGTTAGAGATGAAAACCAGTTTACGTTAGGATACGAAGTTCACTGAAGTCAAAAACAGTGGGGTCTTTATGTGAGCCCGTTTTGACCTATGTGTTTAGACGAGTGGATGACACGAGTCCAATTTGGGGGGTGTGGGACAATATAATAGGGTGTAAAAGTGTTTTACCTAAACAAAAAAAAAATAGGGTGTGAGAGTGGGGGCCACCGTGTGATGATTTTGATCAACCAGTTTCCGATGGTCAATCATTTTTCGCGTCTTCTGAAGATTTTAACGGTTTAAAATAGGATTTTGGACAATTCTCGCCAGAAATGCAACGTCACATGGAGTCGTATTTGTGGGGACCGGGTCAAATTTAAATTACAGTAAATTACACTGATTTTTTTAAAAAAATTTGAAAAATTACATACTGTATTATAGAATGTTACTCTTATTATTTTGATTTTTTTTAAGTGTGAAATGTCTTTCTTATCCTTATATAATTTAATTAAAAAAGGTAAGTCAAAGTAGTGTCAGACCAAAAACTCTATAACCCCCTTTTATGGGCAGGCCGGATTGAACCCCTCCCCTCCTCCTCTTTGGAAATGGGAAGGTTAATAGCATTGGACCAATGACTTTTTGGTGAACACTATATTATTTTACCTTTTTTTTTTTTGTCATCTTGTAAACACTATGTTATCTTTTTTATTATTTTTATTTTTAAAAATAATAAAACTAAACAAATCCTAAAAAGAAACCAAATCAAATATCATTAACAAGAAAATATATATATATATATATATATATATATATATATATATATATATTGTAAAATTTAATAATATAAAATTGGTATAAAAACCGGTATTTTACATTTCAATGATATTTCATAATATTGTTGTAATTTTATGTTAAAATATAAAATTATTGAGGTTTTTATTACAATAAAATAACAACTTAAGTTGAATTTTTATTAATGACAAGGGTGCTATTGAAGCTCAAAAGTTCAAAAGTGGTAAGTGGAATTTACCCTTTAAATTATGGATGAGGAAATAAGCCTAGCCCAATCAGTTGAACCATACAAACACTAACCTTTCAAAATCTACGTAAGTGCATAAATAGATGGTGCCCTACAAACACTAACCTTTTACCACTGCTTTGCTTGCTTGCTTAAAAAGGAAGGAAAAAAAAACATTGCAAAGCTGCCCTATCTTGCTTTTTATTTTGCTGGTGTCCCACATCAAAGGGGTACCAAGCCCTAAATATAATAATATTAACCAAGGAAAAAAAAACATTGCAAAAGGTGCCCTATCTTGATTTAATGTGTAATGAAAGCAAAGAAAAGGCCATACCAACTAGCCATTAATCAATTTATTAAGATGCCACTTTTAAGGGTACAAAATTGCATAAAGTTAGAGACATCATGATATGGCTGGCTGGACTTTATTGGAATCGTGGAATGAAAGCGAAAATAAAGTGAGAAAAGATGCTTTATGATCTCTTAATAAGAGTAAGGAGGCCATCTTCGTTTTTTTTTTTTGGTGGAATCATATACTATGACTAATGGCTAGTTGGTAGGCTCTTTTAAATTAGGGTAAAATACAACAACATCCCTTGATATTTGATAAAAGGACACTCAAAGAAAATTTACTTATTTTTTGAACAAAGACACTCCCCGAAGGTTCAAAAATGGATAAAGATACCCCTTTACATGAAATATTGACCAAATTACCCTTTGACCATTTATGAGACTTTTTTAACTTTACAATTTAATAAATTAGACCAATCTACCCTCATGAATAATTTATGCATAAAAAAAAAAAACTTTATATTGTTCACGTTTTTTTTTATTTTTTTATTTATTTACTTTATAAATGTCCCAATTTCTTAAAAATGTAGACGTCTAAAATGATTTTTTGATCCAATATATATATTTCAAATAAATTATATTTTGTTATTACTTCTTTTTCTTTTTTTTTTTATTTTTAAATTAAGATACTTAATTCTTTCATCTAAAAAAATTAAACTAATATTTTTTCTTTAAAAATAAAAAATATGGTATCAGTATAACTTTATGCATCTTAAATTATATATCAAATATTATGCATTTCCAAACATAAAAGAAAATAGGTATCAATATAACTTTATGCATGCCTTTGTTTTTTTTTTTTTTATGTTGGGAAATGCATAATATTTGATATATTTTTAAAGATGCATAAAGTTATACTGATACCATATTTTTTATTTTTAAGGAAAAGAGATTGCTTTAATTAATTTAGATGAAAGAATTAAGTATCTTAATTTAAAAATAAAAAATAAAAATAAAAGAAGTTTTAACAAAATATAATTTATTTGAAATATATATATTGGATCAAAAAATCATTTTAGACGTCTACATTTTTAAGAAGTTGGGACATTTATAAAGTAAAAAAAAAAAAAAGAAAAAAGATGAACATTATAAAGTTTTTTTATTTTTTTATTTTTTATGCATAAATTGTTTATAAGGGTAGACTGATCCAATTTATTAAATTGTAAAGTTAAAAAAATCTCTTAAACGGATAAAGGGTAATTTAGTCAATTTCTCATGTAAAGGGGTGTGTTTGTCCATTTTTGAACTTTCAGGGAGTGTTTTTGTCTACAAAATAGGTAAGCTTCCTCTGAGTGTCCTTCTGCCAAATCTGAGGAAGTGTGGCTGTACTTTACTCTTTAAATTATTATCTCCTTTACACACACACAAACACATAATCAACATATATGATGGGGTGTTCTCCAGTTGTTCTAATGAGTGAAAAACCTGGGGTGGCCCAGTCCTGTATTGGGCAAATAGGATCATAGGGCCTTGGCTGACCGAATTTCAGCCCAATGAATTTTCAGGCCTGACATGGAAAGTTTGTTTTTAGAACAAGCCCAGCCTTACCGACTTGACTAAAAATCTACTTGGGCTATCAAGTTTATCAATGAATAGAACATAAAACATAATGTGGCGGTTTGAGCACGGTCTTATAATATTTTTAACGAGATGGGCCTAGGCCGACATCTCTTTGTTTTTTCATTGTTCAAGTTCGATCAATCCCGTTTTGTGGCTAGCCGTTATGGGTTCTTGTTCCATGTTGGATCTAGATGGGAACCATTTTGGGCTTTGTATAAGCAGCAACAAGATGATATTGGATCTAGATGGGAATGATTTTGGGCTGCAAAACGTTATCGAATCTAAATGAAAAGG